TAGTAGGGCTATGAGAAGGAACCTGGATAGTAGTGTTACTTCGAAATGAATGCCTGGATAGTAGGGCTATGAGAACGAACATGGATCGTAGGATTACTTCGGAATGGGAGCCTGGATAGTAGGGCTATGAGAAGGAACCTGGATAGTAGGGTTACTTCAAGATGAAAGCCTGGATAGTAGGGCTATGAGAAGGAACCTGGATAGTAGGGTTACTTCGAAACGATTTTGGGTAAAACTTCAGAGGGAACCTGGGTAAGGTTACTTTGTGATGAGCCTGAGTAGAACTTCAAGAGGAACCTGGGTAAGGTCGCTTTGATGAGTCTGTGTAGGACCGCATTAGGCCGCGCAGATAATTACTCTGTTTAGTTTCAGGAACTAATCTTGGACCTTCTGCAAATTATTGATGATAACCCTCTTTCCTGAAAAGGTACAAGATTAATTATATGCGATGCATGAAATGCATTGTGTGAGGATGTTCTCAAAATAAATGATATTATGCTGTTATGCAATATGTATGCGCGTGTCATAATGTATGCACATGAAATGCTATTGTTACATGTCTGAGTCTGGGAAAATAAATCCCTGACTGCTGCTGGAGAATATAGCATTCCTGATTGTGGTAGAGGATTGTGATCCTTCTACTTCCGTCGGGGATGGTGAACGGAGACGACTATGCTGTATATTCGCTCCTTGTTTGTGAATATTCTGTCGGGGAGAGACTCTGCTTGAGAATAACTCTGTGGGGAATAACTCTGTTAGAAGGTGAACTTCCGTATCTGAAGGAATAAAATCTGTCGGGGATTGAGTTTGTGTCCAGAGAAATAAACTCTGCTTAGGAGATAAAAACTTACTGATTCACTCGCGACTATGAAATTCGGCTGGGGAACATACGTCGGGTTTCTGAATGACCCTGGTTGGGGAGGTTACTTCCTGTTTTGGAAAAGGCTGACGTTAATGCCTTTGAAAGCTTTTACTTTGTGGGGAGTACTGATATAATGAGATCGCATGTACTGATGACTGTGTTCCAAAGCCGTCTCTGCCTCGGTACCTGGTGGACAGAGTAAATGTCGGGTTTGACATTCTTTTAGTTTTTTTTACTCCTGTTTCTTAAGTTACGAGCAATTGTCTTTCTGTTTCCTATGCAAATATTTGTGAACAACAATTATATTCAAATGCACATGTCAAGAATAACTCATTGGACATTCTCGCAAAACAAAACAGAAAAAGGGAAAACAAACATTTTTGTGTGTAAGAATGACTTGTATTGATTTTGAAGTTAGCCTATAACATGCGTTTTTGTACAAGGAGGCTGACATTCTAGTAAGAGAACACCGTCGTAAAAATAGAAGCTATACAGAATTATGTGAAAGTAAAACAGCTATGTGAAACGATCCCATTGAGTTCCAACTACGCTATTTCCCCTATGTCTTCGAGCGTCTCATCACTTTGCTACTTGGCCGAAGGTTAATTAAATTGATTGGTGTCGTCTGAGCTTGATAATTGATATCGAAGTCTGGTTGCAAGATGATCCAATGAGACATAGTGATACGCTTTATATCCCTAACTTTTGCCTGGACCGCCCTTTCGGGTTTTCAGTCCATTGGAATACCCTTTTTTTGCCCAAGCCGCCTTTTCAGGTTTTCGACTTGCCGAGTGTACATATTTTTTTCATTTTCATCCCTTACTTTTTCCCGAACCCTTTTGGTTCGCTGGGAATCCCTTATTTTTGCTTAGGCCAGTCAACCTAACGGGTCTTTTAATTAGGCATAGTATCTTTTCACTATGTCTGCATTGATAGGGTGAGGAAGGTCGTCACCATCCATGGTGGTTAGAATCATAGCTCCACCTGAGAAAATGTTCTTAACCACAAATGGCCCTTCGTATGTGGGGGTCCATTTGCCCCTGGGATCACCTTGCGGCAGTATGATGCGCTTGATCACTAGATCCCCGACTTGATATTCTTGACGTCTGACTTTCTTGTTAAAAGCCTTGATCATTCGCTTTTGATACGTCTAACCATGACAGATAGCAGTAAGTCTCTTCTTATCGATTAGATTTAATTGATTAATTCGGGTTTGGATCCAGTCGTCTTCATTCAAACCTGAATCCTTCATAATCCTGAGAGAATGTATTTGGACTTTGATAGGTAGGACTGCCTCTATGCCATATACCAGAGAGTAGGGTGTTTCCCCTGTCGAAGTCTGTACTGAGGTACGGTACCCATGAAGAGCAAATGGTAACATCGCATGCCAGTCTTTGTACGTCACCGTCATCGTCTGTATAATTTTCTTGATGTTCTTGTTAGTCGCTTCGATAGCGCCATTCATCTTCGACCGATAGGGAGAAGAGTTATGATGTTGTATCTTAAACTGCTTGCAGAGCTCGGTGATCATCGTGTTATTGAGATTTGTGCCATTGTCAGTAATAATTCTCTATGGCACACCATACCGACAGATCAAGTTATGCTTGATAAATCGCGCAACAACGTTCTTGGTCATAGTAGCAAAAGAGGCCGCTTCAACCCACTTCGTGAAGTAATCAATGGCCACTAGAATGAAGCGATGCCCATTGGAAGCGGTAGGTCTAATTTCTCCGATCATGTCAATGCCCCACATTGCAAAGGGCCAAGGAGCCGTCAAGACATTCAGAGGAACCGGAGGCACATGCACCTTATCAGCATAGATTTGGCACTTATGACAGGTTCGAGAGTGCTGATAACAATCCACTTTCATAGTGGACCAATAGTACCCCGATCGTAGGATCTTCTTAGCCATGGTATGTCCACTTGAATGGGTTCCAAAGGTACCTTCATGTAAATTCTCCATGATTCTCTCTACTTCACCCTTGTCTACACACCGCAGTAAGGTAGAGTCATGGTTGCGCTTATAGAGGATTCCATTGTTGAGAAGGAACTTTGCAGCAAACCTTCTCAGAAATTTCTTGTCATTGACAGATGCCCCCTCGGGATATTCTTGAACCTCGAGATACCTTTTCACCTCATGAAACCAAGGTTTATCGGCTACCTCCTCAGTATCGATCTCACAGCAGTATGTCGGTTCATTCAACCTCTCAATAGTGATTTGAGAAGCTTCATTGTCCCACCTGACCTTGAACATTGACGACATAGTAGCTAGTGCGTCCGCTAACTGATTCTCTTCTCGTGGGAAATGTTCAAAGGTGATCTCTTCAAAATGCGGCATCAGTGTCAGTACATACTCTTTGTAAAGAATAAGGTTCGGGTGCTTCGTATCCCACTCGCCTTTGATCTGACATATCACCAAAGTGGAATCCCCGAATACACTCAAGAACTTGATCATTAGGTCAATAGTAGCTCTAAGACCCATGATACGTGCTTCATACTCCGCCATGTTGTTGGTACAGTTGAAGCATAATCGGGCAGTGAATGGAGTATGACAGCCCTCGGGAGATATAATTACGGCGCCAATACCATTACCCAATGAGTTTGAGGCTCCATCAGAATACATAGACCATCGGGATCCTTCCTCATGTCCTTCATCTGGTCCAGGTTCTTCACAGTCGGTTACCAACATGATATTCTCATTCGGGAACTCGAAATTCATGGACTGGTAGTCATCCACAGCCTGATGTTCCAAATGATCCGCTAACACACTTCCCTTGATTGCTTTTTGGGTTATTTATTGGATGTCGTATTCGGTTAAGATCATTTTCCACCTTACTATCCTTCCGGAGAGAGCGGGCTTCTCGAAAATGTACTTGATCGGATCCATCTTCGATATCAATAAGGTAGTGTGGGTCAGCATTGTCATACCCCAATTTTTGACCTAAGATCCCATTTTTATTTTTACATTTTTATACAGAAGTCAAGGTCACGAAATACGGTCGGTTTTAACCTCTCACCTTCGAGCATTGACTATGCAGAAATTGTCAAGTATTTTGAACATTCTTAGCCTATGTAACACTAACTTCTAATCAATCACGAAGTGTGTGTTTTTTCATTTCTTTGATTTCATTTTCAGGAAACAGATATGAATCAAGAGCATCAGGCGTCATGCCTCAATTAGGGTTCAGAATCTCTCAAGCCAGAAGTACAGTTGATCGTTGATTCTTGAAGACTGATTCATCAGGGGAATCGTGTGTTTATTTCCACGCCTTGTTCGACAAGTGGTCTCAAGCTTCTCCAAAAATTCCCCAAAGCATAGTCAAGATTTCATCATCACTGGTTTACATGTGCATCAAGATGCTTTGGAATGCGAAGAAAGATCAAGTTTGCAAGTCGATTCAAAGCACTTCGACCAAAAGTTAACTCTTGCAAGTTCAAGATCAAACGGTCACAACTTCTTCAATTTTCAACATCCTGAGACAATTCTTTTGCGAAGTATCACAAATAGAATTGTCTATGAGATTACTTCAAATATCGATGTTCAATTTATGCCACAGATGTTTTCTCAAAAGACGTTTGAGTCTTATGTTGGGATAATTCATGAAACTAGAGTTCCAGTTCAATGATTCAGTAATTGCTTGTCGCTTGCCTCAAGTCATTTGCAATTGAACATTAGCGATCATTGGATCAAGGTGGATTATTGGTTAAATATCTTAAAGGCACAATTTGTATTATTGGCTCGTATTGCAAGTTACAATGAATTGATGATATGGTTTTGTAAAGAAGAAGATTTAAGGAACAATTCGAATAATTCTTTTTTATTTCAAATTGATTCAAGTATGCAAAGCACAATTCATTCATATGAATTTGCTTTTGGATTCAAGATATACAAAAGGACCAATTTTCTCATGATGTAAGTCTGCTCAACTCAGTAGATCAATTCATGTAATTTGTATGGAATTCTATAAGCTATCAAAGAGTCCAAGCTTCACGAATGTAATAAAATGAGAGTGCCCGATGGGTCAAATTGTGAATTTCTTTTAGAATTACACAACATGAATGGAATGAGACATAGAGCTACTTATGCTACTGTGAGGAATACTAATGAAAGTAAGAATGGTATTATTCTGTTGCGGAAATGCCACTAGAGTGGGACATCACAGGTTACTCCAACAACATATGATCCTCAAAAGAAAAGTTTCAACTTCTTGTCTTTGTCAATCGGAAGTTATGGATTAAAAGTCGACAACAACAATTATAATAAAGTTGTAAATAGGTTGGAACCATTGTCAAATTTGCAAGTATCTTATTTTCAGTCACCATTACAACTTTATTGTTCATATAAAAACTTACACAAAATAGACAATACTTAAACCTATCAAGAACTTTTGCCTTAGACCTAATTCTAAGTTCTCTTCAAAGTGTTGTCTCCATCCAAAAACAGCCCTGTACAAATGCAAAGGAAAGTCAAATTGTGACCTTTCCTTGTCCATAATCCTTGTTGCTTTAAAACCAGTCTGCAAAAATCAGTCCATGACAATGTTTTCTTACTGTCCATTTTTTAACCATGCTGCTGCACCAAAAAAAACCAGTCCATATCCCTAAACCTGCTATAATTTTGTTACTGCCCATAACCTGCAAAAACTCTGCAAAAAACAGTCCACAAATTCCCAAATCACCCTGTCAAAAACTTGCACCATTATCAGTCCTAATCTGCACCTCACCAGTGAAAAAAATTACACAAAGTTGGTTAAAACAAAACTTGTATGAAAAAGCCACATATCAGCATATCAAATTTGTTCAAAGACTCACCAATTTTCCCCCCAAAACTACACTTATTCCATATAAAGGGAAGGCGGTTGATATTAAAGAGAGAAAAAAGAACGGAGAAAAGAGAGAGAGGAGAGCATACGAAAACACACAAAAAAACAGAGAAGAAAATTAGAGCAAAAGATACACAGAAAAATTCACAACGAAATCCGCATCCTCAAGCTCTTCATGAAGAGATCATAAGACAGCTTGTTACCTCTGGTTTTCTACTTCAATTATGTGTCGACCTCGAGGTAAGTCACCTACCCTCTGCCATTTATCTTCCTTGCATGATTATATGCTCGTTTGTTTGAACCTTTGTTTTAATGCCTGCTTGCTAACATTCCTACAAACAAAAAAAACATTTTTTTAAACTCCATGACTAATTATAAATAAAACGGAAAGAGAAAAATCTTGGCAAACTCGGAAATAACCTTACAATTTGACAAAAAGAATCACAACCTCCTCAATTTCAACAAAGGTCGGGTGGCGGTGGCGCTGATTTTCCTTCTCCTGATTCAGTAGCAAGTGATAACAGTAGTCTTTCAAATCCAATGTCGCACAAAAAACCTATTATCTATCAAGAGCAAGTTCAGATTCAATTTGGAGGTACAAGGGTTCTAAGTGGTCTTGTGGATCTGAAACTCATTTTGTCTAACCCACAGGGTAGGATCCAATTGCAGCAACACGTACAGGACCCTGGATATTTACTGCAACAGCATGAAGGGTGAGAAAACACTTAGAAGGGGGGTGAATAAGTTTCTCTTTTTCTTTTTCTTAAAGGCTCAACAATAATGGAAAGAAAGGGTTATTTTTATCCTGGTTCGTTTGAACTCAAACTATTCCAGTCCACCCGCCAAGGTGATTTCGCCTTTCTCAACAAGGACTTAATTCACTATAATCAACTGATTACAGTCACACAACAACTGTTGTGACTAATAACGCACAAGTAGTCTTACAAGTGACTCACACCACTAAGACTTAAACTAGTCCTAGTCTACTTGAGAAATCTGACCAAACTTGGTCTCTCAAGGAACAATTACAAGATTTAAATCTTTACAAATAGTGAAACAAAGTTTGCTTCTAAGAAAGCTATATCACAACTGTGATTTTTCACTAAGAATAGTATTGCATAAAGTGTATGAAAATTATTTGTGAGCCCAGAATATTTTCACGTAGTTCTTGCTTCTTTTGAAATTAATGAGTTCTTAGTTATTGGCTTGCAATAAATGTTCTTCTATATATAGTAAGAACAAAATGACCATTGTTGCCTTCAAATGTGGAGAGCATTAAATGTTTGTGTGTTTCCTTGCACTATTCCATTTTCCAATGAACTAGCGTGGACACTTGAGTGCATGTAGCCGTCTTTGCATTAAATGAGAAAACCGCACTTGTAAGAGTATGTTTCCTGAATCTTGACAAGACTTGTTAGCTTTTACATTCTTTCAGAACTTAGCTTCATGTCTTGAATCAGAACATGCTTGCATATCTTCTAAAGAACGCTTGCTTTGCTTAAGTACTTCTGATCAGCGCTTGCTTTCAAAGAACTTCTGAAACATAGCTTACACAGAAACTTGCTAAGCGTTAGAAGATGTATTTAAATAATTATCTTACCAGAGTCAGCATCAGCACTTACGCTAAAACAAATAGTTCTTTCATCAAAGAACTTCTTCATTTATTTTCAACTCAGCACATCAAAATGCTTTTGTCAGAACATTATCTGAAACAATTAAATATGTTCATCAGAGTATCAAATATATAAAATATAATTTATTATTATCATCAAAACTCTGAGATATGATCAGAACCAATCTTGTTCTAACAATCTCCCCCTTTTTTATGATGACAAAAAATATTCAGATATGAAATAAAATTTAATAAGAGATAGGAATCTCCCCCTGAAATAAATATTTCTATAAGAAAAAACTTCCTGAGAATTTTCATCAGAGCTTTGAAATTTTCTTATGAGATTTCTTCAGCAAGTCTTTTGAAGATAATGTTCATTTGAATTAAACTTCCAGAGTTTAAATGATACCTGCAAAATTCTTTTACACATAGAAAGAAATCTTGTATTTTGTTAGAATGTTTGAGACTTAGTCCCATAACTGTTAATCATAGATTAGATAAAAATACTCATTTTCTCCCCCTTTTTGGCATAATCAAAAAGTATATAAAAATAGTTGAAGAGCGTAAAATTTTTTTAATAAAAGATTCAGAGGTTCAACAAAACAACAAACAAAAACAAGAAATATAATGAAACTAAGATTTCTTATAAACAAGGGCCATAAGAAGATTCTTGATCTCAAATGCAGATTCCTCTTGTTTCATCATCCAACTTCTGATTTCTTGGTGTGTCTGATCTTGCTTGTCGAAGCACTCATGAATAGCTTTGTTATCCCTCTTAAGCTCATTCAGAGTATCCATTACAAGTGAAGTAGGATCAGAGGAAGAAGAAGCTTCAGCAGACACAGCCTTTAGAGTAGCAACCGTTGAATCAGAATGAACAAAAGTTGAAAGCAGAGTGCCCAGATCCATCACAATAGTTGGCACAGGTCCAGGTGCTGCTTTAGCAGAAGGTTGATTAAACAGAAAAATTGCCAAAGGATTTTAATTGTCAGAGGCATCTTCATATTCATCTTCTAAAATGTCCATTTGATCAGCTGGAGCATCAGCAATCATCAGAGAAGACTTCTTGTTCCAAATATCAGCAGCTTCTAACTAGAAGGCATGCAGATGTTTGGAGAAGTTTTCAAGCACCTGAGAGTGACATAAGTCTTGAAACTTCAATGACTCAGCATCTAAGGTTCTTTTGAATGTTTCCCACAGAAGATCTGTTGTTGTTGGGTTCACACTTCTGATGCTGTCTTCCTTCAGCAGGTCCAACCAAGCTTGAACTTCTGTTAAAAAATTCTGAAAAAATATATTTACATATGGCTGAACAGGTTTTGGAACAGCCTTTTTGAAGGTTTTGTTTTTCAGAAATTATAGAGATTCAAAATCAACTACAGTTTTCAGAAAGTCAGCTGGTTCAGGATTTTCTGATTGTTCATGTGTTGCTGATTGGTCAGGTTGGTCAAAAGGGTCAGGTGTTGCTGATTGATCAAGAGGTTCAGATGGTGTATGAGTTTCATAGGGTTCATGTGTTTATGATGGTTCATGAGTTTGGTGTTCTGGAATGTGAGGAGGTGAAATCACTGGTGAGTGTTGTACCCCAATTTTTTCCCTAAGATTCCTTCATCATACCATATTGTTTCAATTACAACAAGATCACATTAGGGTTTTTGCTTATTCTCCCTATCTTTAGCCTTGCTCTTTTGAGGAGTTACCAAGCACTTTGACTTATTTCCTTTTGTGATCATGGATATTTTACTTTGATTTTCTCTCTAATTAAAAAAATACAATATTGGTTTGTCTTACTTGTTAATAATGTAGGTAAAGGCAATGAGGTTTAGCAAGTTGCTTCATGGGTTCGTGAGTTTATTTCCATGCCCTAGTCAATAGCTTGAGAAATTCAAAACTCACCATTGAATTTGTTTTGAAAGAATTGGTATGGAAGTGGTTTTGGTGGCCATGAGTCCTCATCATCATCCTCAACAATTTTTATTCATAAAGGAAGAATATTGGCACAAAAAGTTTGTTCAAACTTGGCAAAGTTCCTCAAAGCAGTCTCTTGATCTAGAGGCTAGGGTTTTGGACTTCAGAGGAGCATATCTTGTTCATCTTTTGGTATTTTTGAGTGATTCCAAATACATCCTTCTCTACAAAGAGTTATCAACAAATCACTTCAAAAGTTCCAAAGAGTTTTTATGTGGAAGGAACTTGGTGAAGAAGGAAGATTACAAGTCATCCAGATGAATCCCCAATTTTCCATATGTGACTTCAAGTGGTCATAACTTGGTCAATTTTTATCACCTTGAGACCATTATTTTTTCATGATGATCTTAAGTATGTGTACTTCATGCCTTCTTTTATATGCAAAGTAAGAAAATTGGTGGATGTTGCCTCAAGAATGCAAAAGATTATAGGTCATTTCATGATTTTTGGCCAACTTCAACAAGTCATAACTTTCTCAATTTTTGGAGATTTTGAGTGGTTCAAATTGAAAAATGTCATTCAAGAGATCTACTTCATTCCATATTTTTTGGTCAAGAGCAAATTCTAAGTGGAAGACCATGTTTGGATGCAAAGGATTATAGGTCATTTTTAAAGAAGAATTTGAAATATTTCTAAGTATGGAAAGTCAACTCTTTTTCTTCAACTTTGACTCCATGTAACTTTCAGCTCAAGCATCCATTTGATTCCATTCCTTTTCCATTGCAAAGCTTGTAACCTCATCTTTCCAAAGCATCAAGAATTATGCCCTAAGACCCCTTGAGGTGGAAATGCCATGGATTTGAATTTGGTAGTTTGAAACTGAATTTTGCACAAAGTCAGAATTTTGAAATCTTTGTTTTGGCTTCTAATCACAAGATTTCCACGCGTTTTTGTTTCTAATCATGTTTAGAAACTTACCAGAAGTGATTAGCATCATGAAACACACGATTTGGCTGAGTTTTGATTAAGTTTGAGTCACACTTTCTTCATGATGCAAACCCACACGAATTCCCTCCAAAACGCATCATTTGCTATTCCTTTTGATCCCATTTGCTTCCCTATAAATAGAAGGTCATCCCCCATTTAATTTCCCAAGCTTAGATAGCCAGAATCACCCTGCCAAACTTGCTTCATAACCCAGAATTCAGCAACTTCGAATTCTATTCTCAAGCTTTTTTCAATCTGTTTTTTCCCTCAATTCACCTTCCTTGATCTTCCCAGAAGCTAAGCATATAATTACATTCAAGAATCGTGCCCTATATTGCTCCATAGAAGTCCAGTTTCAGAGCTCTGTAACTCAACTTCAATAGGTAGATTCCTTCATTAATTCTTCAAAACTTTGATATCACTGTAACGCTCTCATTGCCCTGGTTCTAGTCGCAACACTTACTTTCATCTGGAAACTCGTTTTGACCATGAATTTTTAAATCCCTTTTCAAAACATTCTTTCTAAATTGCTTGAGTTACAATTTATATAAATTGGGCGTGAGGGTGTGGTTGTCTTCATCTTGAAGAGACGAAGCGAATGGCATAGGTCTGAGCTTCTGATTTTACAGTTTGAGAGACCTGCAATTCGTGATGGCTGGAGGTTGAAGATGACCAACGTGTCATCTTCTAACCAATGAAGGCACGCCATCTGTATTTTTCAAATTCTGATTTTATTATTGATTATGTAGATTATTCATTAAAGACCACGATATGCACAGCGTGCCAGATCCCTTGGATTTGATTACTAACGCGTTTTGACTCTCATCCAATGGTCCACATCTTTTACTTTTATTTTCTTTTTTCTGATTTTTTTTTAATTGTTTTAAATTTCAAAAAATCATAGAAAATTCATTTTTTGTCCAAAAAATCTAAAAAATTTATGAAAAATATTTTTGATTATTCTCTTTCTGATTTTTATGTTTTCACAATTTAATTTTGAGTTTTGGTATTTTTTTATGAATTTTACACTTATTTGATTTGTTTAAAATGTTCTAAAATACTTTTATACATTTTTAAATTCTGAAAAAATTATGGAATGATCCAATGATATTGTGACAAATATTGGTGACGTTATTTTATTTTTGTTTCTAACTTTACTATTTTTTACTATTTTTGTTTATTTTACCCATTCATTTTAATTTTTAAAAAT